GTCCACGCAGAGGGTTTTAGGTGCGTTTTTAATGAGTTTGACAGGAGGGGTTTGGGTGTGTTTAACGAGGCCTGACATCTAGGATGAAACCAAAATTAGTAAGAATATTTATTGTAAATTAGGAGTGGTTAAACTTGGTTTAGTCATGTTGATTAGAAAACCATGAGTGATTAGAATACTTGTTGTAAACCAAGAGTGGTGAGAATACTCACTGAGATCTTAGAGAGACAAAACTCGTGAATATGAAAAGATCAGTTGAACCCTTTAAGAGTTCTTAAAAAAGAACTAGATGTAACTCGTGTTGAGTGGACTAGTATAAAAATTAGTGGTTTGTTGTTTTGCCATTCAAAACATTTTCCATTTACTTATCTCATAAAAATCAGCATCTAAATATCTTACAATTCATATACATTTTCTTTACAAGTCATTAGACACTGCTTTGTGAAAATAATTTCAAAAACAATATTCACCTCCCCTTTAGTGTTTTTTCCTGTGATTTCAGTTGGCATCAAAACTTACCTCACTAGTGAGTTCCTAACATAACTTCAGGAAACAATCCTAATGGACAATGGAAAATTAAGGATATGCTGTCAACATGTCTCCTCTATTCAAGGGGGAAGGTTTGACTATTGGAAGCAAATAATTATTGCATTCTTTGAATACATCGACATGTGTGATGTGGTTAAGAATGGTAACTATATACCTTTTAATAATAAAGGAGAGCCTTATAGAAAAGCTTGTGGTTTGATGAGAAAAAACACATGTATCTCCTTAACTCTAAAACTCAAAATTTGCTAATGTGCACTTTGTCTGAAGAAGAATATAGGAAAGTATATGCATTTAAAGGAGCAAAGGAGATGAGGGATGCTCTAGCTGTCACATATGAAGGCTCAAATGAAGTCAAAAGAAATAAGTTGAGTCTGTTAATGTGTGATTACAAGTTATTCAGCATGTAGACAACGAAAACATCCAAGCCAAGTTCAATTAGTTTCAAACAATCTTAAATGATTTAAGATCGTTGGGTAAGTAAGACTTATGATAATTTTGATAATATTGACAAAATTTTTCATAGTCTTCCCGCTTAATGGAGACCACAAGTCATCGTCCTAAAAACCTCAAAGAATCTTGATAGCATGAGCTTAAAGGTGCTTGTTGGAATCTTAAAAGCACATGAATATGAGTTTCAACAAGATAGAATCATAAATAAAGAAAAGAACATAATGTTGAAAGCTTAGAAGCCTGTCAGAAGGACTTCCACAAAAGTCGTGAAAGTAGAAGAATTTTCAAAAGAGTCAACTAATGAAGAAGACTCCTTGGAAGAAGGAGAAGAAGATGAACTATCGTTAATCTCTAGGAAGATCTACTCAATGTGTAGAAGAAAGAAAAAAGGATGCCCTGGATCAACTACCATAAATGATCAACGAAAAGAAAGTCCTCTCGTATGCTATGAATGTAAGAAATCAAGTCACTTCAAATCTGAGTCTCCTAATCTTGAGAAGAATAAAAGGAAACCTGATTTTTCTAAACAAGGAAAGAAAAAGGAGCTGATGGGTACTTGTGAGGATCTAGACTTCTCAGAATCAGATGAAGAAGACGAGGAAGCCAATCTATGTCTCATGGTAGATGATGAATAATGCTCGTCAAACTACTTTGACAATGAGGTAGATTTCATTGACCTACACTATGTTATTGAAGCTTATCACGTGTTATTTTCAAATTCTTCCAAATTGTCAGAAGCTTTTCCGTTCATAAAAAAAAGATTTCAAAAGAAAATGAAGTTTTAAAAAGTAAACTAACATTGTTTGATGATGATGTTAAGAATTTTCAAAAATAAATTATCCACCTAGAAGGGCAACTAAATGTTCTAAAAAGAGAAAATGAAAAGCTTATTTTAAAAATGAAAAGCTTGTGGAGAATATAATTATTGCTGGAGAAGCTAGGCGTATCGAGCTCCTCAAACATGAAAATGACATTTTTCATAAGGTGCTGAATATTTGAAGGAAATGAACGATTAGGATTTCTAGTAAAAGGAAATGATGTAGACATCCGTTTGACAAATGTGACTTAGAATTTAATGGCAACAACACCTATAGTGAATTCAAGGTTAAGACTGATTATTTTACTAAACCTAAAGAGGAAACTTATAACAATGCTCTAATTCTTGGAAGAAGAAAAATGAATAAGACTAACAAAGTAGGACCCAAAGCAATATGGGTACCAAAAGACAAAATCATCTCTTTTGCATATTTTCTTGATGACAGCAAAGAGACCTCATTCATGGTACCTGGACAGTGGATGCTCATGACGTATGACAGGTCAAAGGTCTATGTTCCAGGACCTCAGGAGCAAGAAGGGAGGAACAATCACATTTAGTGAAAATCAACAAGGTAAAATAATAGGCATTGGAGAGATAGGTATGAACACCTCCCCTTCTATTGATAATGTTTTATTTATAGATGGCCTAAAATATAATCTGCTGAGCATAAGTCAATTGTGTGACAGCGAATACAATGTTACCTTTGAAAATGACCAATGTAAAGTCCTAAACAATAAGGGTTTATTAATATTTATTGTAAATAGACAAGGAATCTTTTACAAGATAAATCTAGGATGAACTACATGCTCAAAGTGTCTCATGCCTGATGTCAATAAAAGAGAATGCAATCTTATGGAATAAGAAATGTGGACATGCAAGTATGAGATTAATCTTAGAACTACAATGCCATGACCTCGTGAGAGGATTACCCAAAGTATCATTCAAAGATACCATCTTTTGTAAAACTTGCACGGAGGTAGACATGTCAAAGAGTCTTTTAAAAGTGAAAACATTGTTTCTACAGAAAGACCTCTTGAGCTATTGCATATAGATTTATTTGGACCTATAAGGACAACATCTATGAGTAGTAAACGTTATAAAGTAGTAGTAGATAACTTTTCTAGATGATCATGGGTTCTACTCTTAGTCCTTAAGGATGAAGCATTTGAGGCCTTTTATAAACATTGTAAAAGGATTGAAAATTAAAAAGATTGTAAGATTATTTCAATCAAAAGTGATAATGGAAGAGAATTTTAAAATAAACAATTTCAAAAATTTTGTCAAAACTATGGCATTAAACATAACTTTTCAACTTCAAGGACATCGCAACAAAACAGAGTCGTTGAGAGAAACAACATATCTTTACAAGAAATGGCCAGATCTATGTTAAATGATTTTAACTCTCTTAAGCACTTTTGGGCTGAAGCAATTAATACGGCTTGTTACATTTAGAATAGAGTTTATATTAGACCTATCTTATGCAAGACGCCATATGAATTATGGAAAAATAGAAAACCTAACATATCTTATTTTCATCCTTTTAGTTGTGAATGTTCCATGCTAAATACCAAAAATAATTTAGAGAAATTTGATTCCAAAAGTGACAAAGGATTATTCTTGGATATTTTGAAACTTAAAGGCATTTAAAGTCTATAACTTGGATATTTTATTACTTTTACTATCTTTGATATTTATTGCTCTTTGATTTAATTGTTTTAATGTTTGCATTAGTTAGAATATCATAATTAAACGTTTAATTGTTGTTTTCATTTCATGATTTTATTATAAGAAAATTATGGTGGACATTAAAAGAATAGAATTCTGAAAAGTTTCATTAAAACTTGAACTAGAACGCGTTTAAAAAATCTGTCAAAGAGCCTACGGCTCAAGCGATAAAATTGGTACTCAAGCCGCCATTCGCGAGTAAGAAACAGTAGGTTTTAAAAATTTGAAACTTTATAAGTTAACCCTTATATTTCTCACCTATTTAAAACCCATTACCTTCTTTGCCACAGCCATCACTCTCAATACACTATAAATTCCATAATTTCTAATCCTTGAATCATAAACCTTCAAACCTTCCATTTTCATTCTCAAGCACTTTCTCTTTCTTTGCAATCACGAGTAAGTAACATCAACTTGTTCATTCATTTTTTTTCGACTTTTTTTTCACTTATTAGGGTTTGCTCAAGTCACATTTACGGCTTAATAATCTCTTTTGGTGAATCTTTGTTTAATTGCGAGATTGTTGTGATTGAATAAGTGATTTTGAATGCTACCTTCATTAATTTCGAGTGTGAGAAATAACCGATCTTGCTATTTTGACGTAAAAACCTTAACTTTGTTCTTGCATGTTTAAATCAAGGAATGTTTCGAAGGTTTTGATGATCTAACTTTGAGAAAAGACAATCAGATGAATGTTTTGCTGTTTAGATCATAGAAATTTATTGTTACATGATGAATTAACTGATAGAGAATAATTTGTTTGCTAAAATTGAAAATTAATGATGTAAATGCAGTTGCATGCGAAAATCTGAGTTTGTGTGCTTGATTGATTGTTACATGGAGGAAATTAATTTCTAGTTCATTGTTGATGTAGAATGGCACCAAAAAGAAAAGTTGTGTATGATATATCTTCTGCAAAGAAGGAAAAGGAGTAGCTGCTTCATCGAAACCGAAAGAAATTGAGCAAGTGGAAGAGCTATCTGATAGCTCTTCAAGCAGTCCTCCAATAACTCAATTGTGAAGAAGGGCGAAACATTTGGCACCTGTTAGAGGAAGGAGAATATTGAGGTCAAGCCATGTAGCATCATCAATTGGCAAAACTACACCCGTCCCTGCATTCACCACTCAATCAACTTCAGAATCCACACCGTAAGAATCATCTTCTACTACTCCACCAACTCAGAGGCAAGAGGTTAGAAAGAAGAAGGAGCTAGCACAACCATCCGCTCAATCGGACAAAATTAGGTTCCAGACCATTTATGCAAGTATGTTTCATCTATCTTAAATTCTACAATTTCTTGTGCAGGGTTGTCTACACTTAACATAACCAAGAACTACACTAAATGTAGATGCCTCCACCCTAAAGACAGGACAACTCATTGAAACATTCATATCTTTGAATTGAATAATGATTTCCAAATGAACATAAAATAATTAACCAAAGGAAGTTAATGAAACATATATGATGCATGTAACAACAAAGGACAAGTTTTAGTATCATAAAATCCAAGTAAATATCCAGGAATTTTTGAAGCGGAGGCTATAGTGCTTCATTCTATTATTGGAAAATCTGATGAAAGCACTACATACTGTATAACAGATGCTTATTCAGAATCCTGGCTCACTTCTCCATCATCAGATAACTCATCAAACGATCTGATGTCAAGCTGGTAGCGTAGGATACCACCAATACCACCAAATCCTCTGCAAAACTGTGATCCCTCTTGGGATTTGTTGGTCACAAATTCCAGTGAGCATCCAAATTTTTTGTACTCATTCGCAAACCACTCAAGCAACGGCATCTTCTCCTGAACTTCTAACTCTGCAGAGGTGACAGGATCTCTGAAATTGCTCTGATTAGCCTCTTGCTCCTTGTTGAAGTGCTTTATGAGAATCTCACCAGTAGAACTATCTTTTTGTACATATCTGTTAATATCCAAATTTTCCCACACAATAAGTATTTCCACAGCACCCATCTCCAGAGCCTTCAATGTGTCATCAACCCCAAACACGTATTTCCCAGTATCCTGGCTGATTTCCTCGAAGTATTTTCCTATCAATCGTTTTTCTTGAATGAATTTCACATTAGATAACAGTTCTGCAGATAACTCAATAGCTTGGTTAAAGCCATTTTCTCCACCATAGGAAACATCAACCACATTCAATATTTTGGCTTGCAATCGAGGATCAAACATATCTGACTGGCTAAGCTCTGTCTTGAAGTCAGCTGAACCAGCAAGTATAAGTCCAGAAACATTGGGTTGACTAGTAGCAGGATTGATGAAAAACTGAGTAGCAAGTTCTGCAGTCTTCCTGACATAATTGTGTCTCTTTTCCATGCGAAGACGAGCAAAACGCAAAGCAGATTGCCCTCCTCTACCGTGTTTCTTTGGTAGATCAACAGTAAATTTATGAAGCACTTCACGTGTATTTCCACTTAGAGTCCCAAAAAGGGTTCCATTTCCATCCATAATAATAAAACCAAACTTGTCATCAGATTCTAAAAGTTCATTAAGAGCTTCTGTGTGAAACTTGTTGTCACAGAGGTAAAGTGACGCATTTATAGGCTTGAAAGGTTCAAAATCAAATGTCACCTTTTTTTCCTTGCCATCGTCTGTGACAATGGTGCCAGTATACAGGACCAAACCATTGGGAGGAACCTTATTATACAGTTTCAACCTCTGTTGAGCAGAAGTAATGGCAGCCAACACTGACTGCCGGTTCACCCTACTTTTGATATTTGAAGCAGTTCCATATTCATCTCCCAACATCTTAGTGACACGAGAAATTTGATCACGAGGAGGCATAATCAGAGAAATCATGCTTGTACCATTTCCTCTTGCAGATTCCAATGCTTTGATCAATTTCTTGATCTTCCATATCTCAATATTCTTGTCTGATTCATGACCATCAGCCATTGTAGGCAATAATAGAAAGAATAGCCTAAAACTGTAACCAAATGGAAGGTGACAATCATATAACCATCACACAAAAACACTTCCAAAATCACAAATAAATTAGTATATTTACTTGTATTATTGAACAATATTAACATAATTAAGAAGGAATATTATTTATATCTGATACGTATGCATGCTTAGTGGATGCTGACAGAATCAAACACCAGTAAATTGATAAAGGATCTTCTTAAATGATTGTAGACCCAAATAAGCATTAGCAGTGAAGCACGTGAGAACAGCAGTGCCTAACCCAAGATCCAACAGAACTCTAGGCACAAGGTGCTCAAAATAATTTATAAATGATATCATAGCTTGAAGAATAATTACATAAGTTCATTACAGTAAACAACCACTTACAGTAAACAACCACCACAACAACTGAACATTACTTTAATACCTGCAAGCTACCATGATTTCATAATTGGTAAAGTAAAGCAAAGTTACAGAGGAACAGTGGTCCCACGAGTAACAAAAACTATGATTAGAACTGTATCAGGATACCGTTGACAGGTGAAAAAATTGAATCCAAAATAAATAAAAATAATTATTACACAAACAGAAATCCGTAAGATTGCCACTTCTGCAAAAAAAAAAAAGTTAACTGCAAACAAAGGAATTCCATTAGTATTGGTTTTAAAGCCTGAAACCTATTAGTCAACCAAAGTTCATATTTTCACACTTCCTTCTCCATTTTCGTTCAAAAGACCCAAACTTAGTTAGAGTCAACTTCAGTATTTTCATTATCTGTATTAACAAAATAAAAATAAAATATATTTTTTAAAGGGTCCAATTTTCAAGTCAAAGCCTGGGAATTTAAAGTCATACTGCAACCCCAGATGGATATCCTGCTATCAACAGTACCCAGAAACAAATCAAACCAAATAAGAAAACTTGCTTCTGAAAAACCATAAATAAATAGAAAAAAGTTGACTAGCAGAAGGTCCAAGTTGTGATTGGAGCAAATCTAGGAAAAAAAATGGAAGTGATGTGTATGTACTCACCTTTGTGTATGTTTGGGTGAGAAATGAGAATCTCTCCGGCTAGGGTTTTGGTGTGCGCTTCTGGAGCAGAAACGATGAAGAGAAGAAGGAGAATTTTTTATGGATTATTAAAACTAATCTTCTCTGCTTTGTTTTATCTTATTGATCGTTCTTTTCTTACATTAAGCTAAATTGTTCTGTTGTGTTGACGTGAATTTGTTAATTTCTTTTCCTAAACATCTATTAATTATTCATAAGATGTAATTAATGTAATAACTATTGTAAAAAACATCTATTGTGGAAAGGCTTGCATGGGTTTAAATGAACGTGAAGAAGAAATGAAACTCATCAAGGCTCACTTTCTAATATTTTTTTATGATAAATTAAAATTTATTAAAAATTACTACATTCATTTCCGTTAATTTACAGAAAAATGAACTTCACAAAAAAATTTAATTAATTAGTTAGTTACAATAAATTTCATTAATATTTTGATCTTATTTTTAAAATATTTTTGTAAAAATATAATTAAAGTAACACTAAATGTCAAACATTAATTAAAGTTAAGGTATTTTAGAAAAAAAAAAGCAAGTAAAAGTAACTAAATTCTTTTATATTTTTAAAAATAGTGATTTATTTTCTTAAAAATGAGGAAAGAGAAAACATAATTTTGATGAGTTTTTCTCATTTAATTATTCTCTTATAAGCAATCAATCGAAATCTAAATTGTTGTTTTTTAAATAATAGATTTCAGCAAATCATAAGACACGACTTAAATAATATAGAAAAATATAACTAACATTCCTCAAATGGAAGACACGACTTAAATAAAAAAAATATACGTGAAAATTATTATTTTATAAATTATTTAAGATATTAACTGTTAAGCAAATATGTATATTTTTGCTAAAGTTAATTATATGATTTCAATTATTGTTTTAATGAAATTATGATTGTAAACAAAAGAGATAGTTTAAACATTATAAAGGTAATAGTTAATTAAAATAATTTGTTAAATATTTTGTTGTTAAACATATTTTTATTCATAGGAATTCGATTGATAGACTCATTGATTGATTATTGAATAAACTTCTAATTTTTGTAAATTTCATACAATAAATAAATATAGTTACAGGAGATACAATTATTTAATATTACAAAGTAAACATTTAATAAATCAAATAACTCACATAATGATTTTGAATAATTAGAAAAAATTTATAACTTCAATTTATTTTATGATGTTTAAAATTAATAGAATTTTTTTTAATAATGGTAATTGATAAATTAGTAGATAATAATGTTAATAAGGTTAATAAGATTAAGAAACATAAATTTTCTTTCTAAACAATAATGAAGGACTCAATTTCAATTCATTTAATAAAATAGTTAATGTCAGTTAGGAAGAATTTAACTTGGTTTTTGTTGCAAACAAAGGGTCAAGAATGTCCATCCTCCACTTTGTAAAATGTTATAGGAAGTAGATATGATGCAACTTCTTCTACTTGCTATTTATAACGTTGTCATGCTTTTGGTAGGGTAACACTTATTAATTTAAGTAATCGACTTGTAGGACTCGTGTTACTTGTGTCCTTGCACCAAAATGGTACTTGCAAAGGCCCTCACGCAACTCACATATGGTGTAGTCAACTTGGTCTATGGTAACACATTTCAATACAAGTCGGTTGCAATCTCTTTTATACAACTCGCCACCTACCAATGTATAGCGAGCAGCTTTTCTAACCATATCTTTATCTTCATCCTTCAGGGTGACCTTCGTCTTGAGGTATCAGAAAAATATACCATCTAGGTTGACTCAGCCTCGTATATAAGCATACATCCATCCATCCTATTCGTGGATGGTGAGGACAATATTTGCTATAAAAGCAAGTGATATCGCTCATTCTTCTTCATACTCGCCAGTTTGGAGAATACATTGGCTCTCATGTTATTTCCTCTAGAGAAATGCTCAAGCTTCACCTCGGCTAAACTATCAATCATGTTTTTGACCAAGTAGTAGTATTACAACAATAAAGCGTCAGTGACTAAATAGTCCCTTGTCAGGTGTCCTATTGTTAGTCAGGAATTAGTTCTCTCCCACTTCTCTTACTAAATTAAGGTTGGTCATGATGTCTTCATATTCAACCTAGTTGTTGGATATCTTGAAGTTGATATGCGACGACTTCTTTATCAATGTAACACCCCAATTGTAAGACCCAAGAATTTATACAATTTTAGGTATAAGTTAATTATTGAAATATTGTATATTAATAAAAATAAGTTATATTTTATACAAATGTGATGAGTCACTATTTTGTCTTATTCACTTAGCTTTCTGTATCAATTTTAATTAGTAAATTGTGCTTAATTGTCGAATATTTTCTCAGTCTTTCTATTTAGGTTTAATTTGACCAATAATTCTTATTTTAATTAATTTGAATTATCTGAGCTTAATTATTTTCATTATTATTTTCAGGACAATTTTAGGAATTGTATTTTGGGATAGAAATTTTTTGTCATTTGAGAATAGGCCCAAAAAAGGGGGCGAGGGGGGGGGGGTGGCTGACCTAGGTTTTAGTGCCTAGTAGCCACCACCCTTAGTTTTCCTCTCTCATTCTTCAATTTTCGTTTTAGCTTCTAAAGAGAGCTCCCATGAGGTTTTTATTTTGGTTTTATGTATTGAACTCATTTTCATTATAATTCATAGTTGAATTCGTTTCTGCACTTGTGTTTGTTCTCCATCAAGAGGATTGTATTCCCCTATTGCTGTGAGCTAGGAAGAGAACGTGTGTGTTCTAGTGATTAAAGTTGAGATTGTTCTAAGGTTATAGAAAGTTGGGATTGCTTTCTGGGTTGAGATTGTGAGGTGATTCACATATTGTACTATAAGGTATATCAAGTTGGGAAAGGAGAGTATATTGAGAGGGGAGTTCTCTGTATTCTTGCTTGTATAACTCTATCATTATAGTAGTTTCCTTCAACTCTAGATGTTGTAGGCTTGACCAAACCAGTATAAATTTTTATGTTGATCTTTCTATTCCTTATTTTTTATTATTGTTCATATACTTATTTGATTGCATTCCAAGAAAACTTCAAACATTTTGAAAAGCTTTTGAAAGAACAATTTTTTAAAGGGTAAACCAATTCACCTCCCTCTTGGTTGAGATTATTGGTATCACTTTTTCTACAATATTTAATACATGTACAATAAAGTGTTTCAATACCTGTATATCTTATTCTTGATATATGTGCAGATTTTACTAAAACAGAAAGATATGATCAGAATCACTACTTCAAAGAAAAAGATGTTGTGAGAGATGAAGAACATTCTAGAAATATTTTTTTAAGCCTTCTGCTACGTCATATCGTACAAGCTCGATTTTTCTTAAGGTTATGATAAAGTTTTGTACCGCTACAAAGTAGACTAATCTTTGACTTCCCACCTAAACACTTTCTTTATAATATCACCATAACTTGTATCTTTAGCTGAAATATCTTTTTCAAACTCTTCTTCGTTATCAAGCTTTGAAATACCTTTTATAAGGTATTTTTCTTTTTTTGTTATTCTTACATATCATAAATCTTTTTCTTTTTTTTATTCAAGATTCATAAAATATAATATGGATAGATATTCAATATTGAAACAATATTTTATTATACACATAAGTTCTACTAAATAAGAAATGTCTACAATTCTTTTGCATCAAAATTGTCAAGAGACACTTTTCCATTAATTATAACAAAGCATTTGCAGTCAAAGACTCATATATATAATATATTGGGTTTAAAGAGTTTCTTTATAAAATAGGTATAATTAGTACTCTAGAACATAACATTTGTATTTATATCATTCACCATATGTTTTGGAATATAAGATCCATTGACTATGATATCTCAAATATCTCTATCAATTAATTCAATGAAAATTTTCATTTACTTTTGAGAAAGTATAGTTAAGTTTAGAAAAACATTAGTAAGCTCTTAATGAAAAATCTTCAAAAAAAGGTTATTTTCCATTAGCCATTTAAAAAGAAAAAGCCTAAATAATTTTTAAGAACCAATTCTTGATACCAATTTTTGGATAAAAAACTTAATAATAGACAAAGTGCGATTGGATCAAACACTTATTAATAAAACAACACTATAACTAGTTGTCATCACGATTCGATTGTGACTAAATCCACTTAACCTACATTAACCTACATTACAAGATAAGATAATTGATGACACCACTTATGCTAAAACATTTTAGGACCTTCTAAAATGTATTCCCATTGATACTTAAAGAGCTTCTTTTGAGCATCATCTTGTCAAATCACTATTCTCGTATTTTGCCAACGACTCTCAACTCCTTCATCTAGCATTTACTTCTTAACCGTGAGTTTAGCTTCTAAATCTCCTCCTTATTCATAGACGCTATAATGATATTGTCTACTTACTACAAAAGATAAACTTGGGAATTTCCTCCGCCTTTTAACGATAAACAAGAATCATAAGGACTTTTATTATACCCTTAAAAGATGATGAACCCAAAGAATATCTTGTATTGTTAGCTTGGATATTGCTTAAAACCATACAACAATCTCCACAATCTGCAAATCCAATTTTTAGTCTCTCGAAACCTTCAAATTGAGACATTAGAATATCCTCCTAAATGCTCTCATGGCGATCTTAACATCAAGCTACTCTTACTATGACACAAGTACAAACAAAACTCTGATGGACAATTCACCACTCTCTTGGAGTAGATGCTCCATATGCATTTTGAGGTGACTCACTATTGAGGAGGGATCCATCTTTATGTTAGATGTAGACGAGATAACATATAACTTATATTAAGAATTATATAAGGTAAGGTGACTCGAAAAATTTAACTGAGTCTTACATTAAATAGGCATGAAATATTCTTATTGAAATGTGGAGAGTCAAAACATGAGATGTTCATAATGATGAAATCTTCTTAGTGAACTATAAACTCCTTATAGATTAACTTTAATAATAATATTTTTAGAAAATATTTCAAAGTTAATAAAAATTAAAAATAACAATATTATAAGGTGAGAAAAAAAACGATACTTCAATAAAAAAAATTACATATTTGTATGCCTTTCAATATCCCTATTAAGAGTTAAGAAACTGAAAGTATTTGTTAGTTACGCAATTAAGCTGGTGATTCTATTACATTACTAGGATCAATTTTGTTTTTCTATGAAATTCTAATATATTGATTTTTCTGAGAAGTTCAAGAATGAGTAGATACAATTGTAAGGGAAATAAAACTATATATTAAGAATGAAATTATTATTAATAAAATAGTTCATTTATTTTAAAAGAAACTATCATCTATGTCAATATCCGTAGTTACACCCACCATTATGCCATTGCTAGTACAAAAGCTATCAATCTATGCTTCATTTTCAATATTCATTACCACGCCGCCATGCTTGCTAATGAATTCTCAGCATAAATAAATCCCTATATCATAATGTCTTCTCAAAGAACTTTAAATCCCAAATTCTAGACCTCATAATGTTTATTTAATAACAGGGCTAATTAATTGCTTGTTGATTTTGAGTGCGGCCATGAAAAGTGAGAACTAGTGTGGGGAGTTGCTTGCTACTTGTACAGTGTTAAATGAAAAGCTTAAATTGTTCTTTATTACAGTGGGTCTTGAACCATGGAATTATGATTTTTTAATTGCAATACCATGTAATTAGATTTATGAACTTCCAGACACTAAGAAAGCAACTTTAGCAAATAAAAAAGCAATAGTTTAAAGAAAATATATGACAAAGCTTTCATAAATTAATTTATACATATACTAATTGTAAGAATATAAATGTATATCTATGAAGAAGTGTTTTCCTCATAGTACAATGAAATGACTGTAGAATATAAGTGTCATTAATTTTTTTTCCTTCAAAAACCTGCAGTTCCATATGCGGATGATCCTTAATGGATATCCTGTACAATTTGAAAAAAGGGGGCATCTATCCTAACCTGATTCTTAAGGGCCAAAATTGTGGGCATATACTGTACAGTGGACAAAATACAGAAAAATAGTAATGGAATATGGGAAGGCACTTTAGATGGTAGGGCACCACAGTTGACCATACGCGCATCTATACATATCTCATCAATTTACAACAAAATAATACAGGTACCCTTACCATTTGGGGAAGACCAAAGGTGCCTCATCAACTCTTAAACCTGCATGCTGAAACGCATCAGATAAATCCGAAACAAAAATGTTCATCCAGTGCTCAAGTTAAATTTGGAATATTTCGGTGAGCATCAGCAAATTCCCGAACCAGCCGCTTTAGAACTCTGCCACCCTTCCCTTGCATATGTCCGAAATCGCTCTTTAATCCATCAGAATTCTTGCTCTCAAGATAATCAGAGGCTGCATCAGCAAGTGCCTTTGACCAAAGTGGCACTATGGCCTCTGCTTCTCCATGGTTTAGGTATTCAGCAGGAAGAGCCTGAACCTGAAATCATAAATTGTCAATCGAGTAAGCAATTGTTGAAAAGAAATGAAAGTCACAAACTAATAAGACTACAAAGGTAAAATAGACAGTAACGATATACTGTGTATGATAGGTGAAAATATATTACAAAATTAGTTGTTAGTTGGGTTGTTAGGTTGAGTGAGTCTTTCTTTATATAGTGGGGGGTCTTTGCAGGCAGGAGATGTTTTTTGGATGTTTAGAGAATTGTTGACAGGACCATTACCATCCTGTGTGAAGGGAACTTTGTCCCTTGGAGGCATTCTTCCTATTCTGGGTGCCTAGAATCAATAATACCATATCTTTTCAGTGAGTTTTGGTGTTTTACAGTAGTTTGCTTGGGTTCCTCTACCTAGGAACCTAACAGTAACAGGTTTATACCACAATAAACCACTTAAGAAATAACTGGTACAATATACTAATCTAATTAATCCCACCTTCAAATTACATTAACCTATACTTCCAAAACAACACTTAACCACATACTTTTCCAGATTGTCCAAGAGTCCAACATGTTAAGTAATTGAGCTTGAACATTCTCCCATTCTTCCAAATTCAAACTTCATCCTTAACTTTTAGATTATACATTTAAAAAGAAGAATTTGCTTAAACTCGTAATTGAACATTACTAGGCTATATTGCTTGTTTGATGAACTAGAGTTTGGATGAAATAATCCATAAACACCTTATTGTTTGCAGCCAAATCAACTGGCTACAACCTGATGCACCCGGTTATCTTGACCATACGTCACGTGAGAATTTCACAGCCAATTCAAGTCAGATCAAAAGAAGTCAACAAGAACTTAAATTGACAATATGCTCGATCCAACCATTCATAGTCAAAATATAAAATGTTCTAAATGATGTAGGGAGAAAAGAAATCAATGATCACATAAAGCTTTTATAAGGCTCGTGAAAAGAAGAAATTTAAAAAGAAAATCAAACATTAACTACTGGTTTCTTTATATAAGGAAAAACAAACAAATTATCAAATCGTAAAGGTGACATGATAACTAAACATGCAAACAAAAAGGAATGGAAGAGAGAGAGACCGCGTACTGCAGCCAGCCATGAAGTGTTTGCCAGCAAAGTATAGCCTTCCATGTTGTTCTTTCAGATAGTGTGCAAATTGCTGCTAGTTGTTGCAAAATTGTTGCGCACTTATGAACCTATCATGTAAAAAACAATTCTTTTAGCCATGCATCGACCAAAGCTAAAAGCCTTCATGCATTAGGCTAAAAGAACAATTAGGGATTAAACAAACAAATGAAGTTAGGGTGAGGGAAAAGGAGAAACCAATATCAGAAAACTTTCAGATACTTTTAGGTTATTTACGAATATCCGAAGACACCAATACTGCAAGGAAAAAGTCAGTTATATTTTCAATTTTCAAGTGAGGGATGAACTGCAGAATAAAAACCTGACTAAAGCGACTGATGAATGGGGGTCTGAAAACCTATTTTTCAAATGTAAACAGCTTTGCTTAACCTATTACAGCTTTTGTGAATCATAGAAAAACCACAAGAAATTTTGTTTTTTTTCTTTAAAAAAAACAGATGTTTAGCCCATAGTTGACCAAGGTCCTGCACAAAAATGGTAGAACTAAAATAATTTGTGCAGGCAACAAAGACTCTTCTTTTTGCGACACCAAACTTCATCCTACCAGCATCAATTTCTCAAGATTTTGCCATATTTCCTGAGAATATGAAAAAAATTCACATACAAGGATAGTCTAGAAATTTACCCGAGACATTGCAGACACACCCAGTAAAGCATAAACCACATTAGATACAAGCCCCTCACCACTGTGAGATATAACGTGAATGGCTGTGATGTTGAATGATCCCTCAGTAATACAATTCATACATTCTAACAGAGAGAGAAGGCCCACATCTAAAAAACCTGAAGAGTAAGGAAAATGACAGTCAATGAACTACAAAGTACTGAGTAAAAGGAATGAGACATCATCATACACTAAACCATATATGGACAAATAAATCTAGTCAATAGTACACCAAGCTTCATAACACAGACAAATAAAACATCAAAAAATTTAAATTAACATATAAAAAGAAGGCAACTATAAAGTCAAATAAATATCAAAATCACTGTTCTAGAATTTACTAAAATGTTGCAATTTATTCCTAAAGTTGGTTTGGCTACATGATTTTTATAGACATTTCATGATATTTTTCATTTTCTTGCATTCTTATACTTCAATTTTAGTATCATTTCCCCTACACAGAAGAAATGGTTTTACATTTAAAATAAACAAGATCACAACAAAAAAGCAATATAAACTTTTCTTACAAGATAAATATGACATTGCAGCAAGCGCTGCACCACGGTGCATGGCTGTGCAACATATAGCTGCCTTTTGGATAGAAACTTCAAGAAGAGAAGCACATGCTGATAGGGCATCCTGTGATACATCCTCTATCAGGTAAGGACATGGAGAGTTCATTTTTACAACAGCAATTAAATCTAACCAAAATATTAGTAAAACAATTCAAAACAATTTCTTCAACCTCATTGAAAACTCTGGACCCCTACTTCCACGAAAGAAAAAAAAAACAAGCAAACAGAATGAAGAAGACCTTGTTACTGGATCGGATAAATGTTGATGCAAAATTGGTGTAGGCCTCCACTAAGTCAGGTTCTTGGTCACATATGTAGGAGGAAGTTAGGGCCATTACAGAAGCTGCATGAGTAAATCTTTCAAACAAAGTAACAAATAAAGGTCCATACTCCTCTAGGTGACCAAATTCTTCAATGACAATGGAAGCTGAAAATATTGTTTGCATAAGCAAATTAGTAAAGGCTCACTGCACCAACCTAGAAGGTGCCGCACAACATTATCAGAATATGGAAATACACACCAATAAGATTGTTACAGGATTACAGCATCCCAATCATGCTTTCTTGATTCAGAATCACAAAGATACAAGCCTTTAATGTAAATACCAGCTAAAAAAATTATTTTCACAAATTATTCATAAACAGTACTCTGCCAAAGCCATCAAAGATTTAACAAAAGCTTCAACCAGTAGAAAATGACAAAGTATATTGGTCCAGGCAAGATAGGTTATTAAAGAAAAAAGAGATATCATAAAAAATCCATACCAGTTCTTATATAACATTCATGACTTTGGAACAAAACAAAATTTGTTGAAAGCAAGTCCATCACCTTGGGCAGTAATGTCACAAAATGTTGACCTGCACAACATTTAAAAGAATAAATATATTTATCACAAGAGGAACTCTTGAACTCTTAAAATATCTGTCAAAGGTAGGTAAACCTGAAGATTGAACAGCTAGTGAAAGAGCTCGGCAAGCTGCTACAGATAAATTTCCATTCTCCATATGCTCAGAGCCAAAAATTTTCTCCAAGATTGGCCAGAAAACCCTTAGCAGTGAAAGTATTGAGTCATCTGCAGCAGGTTCAGTTGCCACGGATATGGAAAGATGACTGAATACAGTTCCAATTCTGAATTTAAGGGATTATATATGAGAGAAAGAACAAACACAACATTTTTATAGTTTCAAATACAAAAAGACCAAATATTAGTGACAATGGAACAGGTATAACAAGTTATGGAAAAAAATTTAAAGAAACTCAATCTTGCAAGCAAAACTCTCTTCTGTTTGCAAAATGTGGAGCAAAAGCAAGACTTGTAAGATTGACAAATTGATAGTCTCTAGACAAAAGATGTCAATGAAAATAATGTTTCTTCTTCTGCTTTTGCTGAAAGCTTGGAATTTGGAAACATAGAATTGGAAGTGTTTCTATTGACAGGTTGAAAATCATCACCGCACAACCAGAGGGTGAGGGACAGAGTTAATCATGTAGACAAACAATTAAAAAGTACAAGGGGATAGGGAGTGATATCCATAAAAATGAAAGACAAATTTAAAAAGAATAAATACTGATTGAGAACAAGATTTGATATACAAATTCTACACCAGAAACTTGCTTACAAGTCCAAATTTATTTTTTTTCAAAAACATGAGTAAGAAAACCTGAAAACAACCTGTCATCTAGTAAAATTAATTTAACTGGTTCAAGGGTTTAACAATTCTAGACACACTATTCATAAGCATACCTGTGCAACCCTCTAGAGGCAGCATTTAAAACCTGTGTATAAGAAGCAGGGTTCTGTTTAAGAGACAGGCTGATTTCGGGATCAACCTGAAAATGCAAAATGATATCCAAAAATTCAAAGTTCACATACACAGAAAATCCATCAAGAAATTTTATAATGGAAAAAGCCGTTACAGCAGATCATCAAGAAATTTCATTCCCAGAACTGTAATAGGTACAATTTCTTCAACTTGTGCCTATGGTGACAAAAACTTTTGCAGGGAAAGAGAAAGATACAGAAGGATGGGGCAAAAACAGGGTAAGAACAGAATAGAGACAAACAGGAGGTCAAAGAAACTGCACAGCACTTGCTTATCATTTCAATCTTACATACCGTTTTAATTCTGCTCCCTATGATAGAAGCAACCTACCTTATTTATAGACAGCTAACAATGAACAGAAGTTAACTAACATCCTTGCTTTATTTACACTTACATATTATATGGACAATTTAAATGTTCAGCTGGAGAAAGTATCATAATGCTCCTATTTGGCTTTGGAGCGTAAGTGTATAACTCCTTTGTATCAAATAAAACTCTTCCAGTAACTATAGTAGGGTGTTATCAGCTAGCTGTAACTGACTTGATTAGTTTAATCACTTGTACTATTCCATCTATAATAAACATACATTTTCTCTTCATCACTTTGATATCAATAAAAGCTATTTTTTTTTTAAATTTTTCTGTTTTATCAAACTTTATTTTTTCAACTTCATGGCCAAAGTAAAATTGGTTTTCTGCCATAGAAGAAACAGATAATCTGCTGTTAAAAGAGAGGCAAGAAAGTCATGGTTGTCTTCGAAAGCAAAAGTAGGATTGGAACAAAAAAGGTAGTGCTATTTCTTTATAATTATGTTTTTTATGAAAACAATTATCAATAGTGCTGGTAAAAGTAGGTTTCACACAATCAAAATCAATAAACAGACAAGATGGGAAAAGGAAAGCTCACAAGTTTCCCAATAGCTTCATAGCTAGATGAAAGCAATCTAGCCAATAAATTGTTCTTTAGTTCCCGATTGGACACAGAACCAAGAACCAGACTTATTGCATGCATAACTTCTTCCTCATCTTCCAAAGACAAATTCCATTTCTCTAAACCCTACAGCAACAAGATAACTTGAATGTCAATAGTTGAATCCATAGTTCAGCAAGTACGAAAAGGATTCTATGCACTGATCTTGGAAGTTAGAGAAATAGTATAAAACTAAATCCATTAATTTAATGTAAAACAAGATGCTGAGAATCTTTAGCCACATACATTATGCATATATGGTAACAGAAGTGTAACAATTGTAGAGACAAAAAAGGATATTGACAGAAACTCATGCAAACTATGCATCATTGAAGTTAAAACACGGTATCATCATCCATATATTTACTCTTCTGCAAGGACAGAGTAACATACCTCTCCTATCCACATTAAAATTTCTAAATTTGAAGGCTCATAAATTACTACAGAAGCATCTTCACAGACTTTTCGCAAGGCAGATGCACAAGCATTTGAAGATAGAGATTCTGAAATCCCAATAGCAAGAAATAATCTGAAAGTAGAAATGTTTGTAGCACATGAATATGCGAATACCGAATACTGAAAATTTTCCTTCAGCAGTTAGTTATCTAGTTTGACACAAAAAAAAACTTAACCCATTAATCATGAATACCATGGAAAAATGAAGTTTTGTGGTGTACTCACAGCAAGGATCTAAAATTTTCCTTAAAAGCAGATATCCACTTGGAATATGAACCAACAACATCTGCCAGAGATCTGTATACCTATAAATAGAACACCTTTGAACAAACATGAAAAGAGAGGAATACTGCTTAAAAATAAATGCCGCAAATAGAGAGAATGGAAGAGTTCATATATAACTCACAATGCAAATGAAACCCTTCAAGCCATCAGAAGGTTTAATGGATAACATGGTCACCAACTGCATAACTACAGAGAAATCATAACTTTGGCCATCCTGTATGATTACATCAGCCACCTGGAGTAAAGGAAGTGTTGCCTTAAATAACATGTGTATAGAACAACATATGACCACAAACAGTGTTATTTTCCAGGAAAGAAAAGTGTCAACAATGAGATCCAGAATTTATCACTTTCACATTATTTCATGCCAGATAAGTAGTTAAGAGGTCAATAAAGAAACCCAGGTAAATGCAGCAAGTGCTACTCACAGCATTAAGAGCAAATAGTTTGCTTTCCACTTCCTTCCAAGGGATTGATAGATTTTGAGATGCCCACCCACCAATAAAGAGCTGTAAAGACAAAGACATTATTATTGAGAATTGAGAGTTTAGTGACTAAATAAATTGACATGATGCACCAGTGATAATAACCATAATCAATAGTTGTTTGAGAATATAGCCTGAAACTAGGTAACAAACTATTTTCCATTTGAAAACTTAGATGAACAACTCTCTAGTAATTTGCAAATTTTTTCCACCAAATTACATAGGCAATGATTAAACTTTAACACTACTCATATAAAATATACTTTAAAGCTAACTTAACCCTATAAAACTAACAAAGTGAGGTGGGTTTGCACCTACTTATTATAACTTGACCATATTTCAAGTCAATGTTGGATTTCCAATAACTACTAACATGGAAGCACAAGTATTAAACTACGAATGAGTCAGAAGATAGGAACCTGGTTCTGCTTTTGTTGGAAGTCTTACATCGACTAGAGATAAGGCCAATTTAGAGTATATATATGGATGCAAACCTCACCTTACAAGCCGGTTTTGTAAGGTTAAGTTAGGCTTAAAGTCCACTTCTTAACATAGTATCAGAGCCACGGGTTAGAGTCTATCCTAGCGAAATTTATGTTTGTTAGGCATATCATTCCACCTACTATTGGGCCGCTATTGGACCACCCATTAATGTCTTGTTCCACGAACGAGATGTATATACCTCGACGTGAGGGGTGTGTTGGAAGTCCCACATCGACTAGAGATAAAGCCAATTTAGAATATATAAGTGGGTGCAAATCTCACCTTACAAGCACTGATTGGGAGTTTCAATTCAGGATGTTCGTGCAAGGGAAGGCATGTGAGGTCATGTTGATGGGTCCTCCTCTAAACCCACCACCATGGCTGAGTTGGCTACTTGGGAGATGAAGGATGCTCAGGTTCTTTCTTGGCTTTTGGGGCCCATTGAGCCTCTAATGGTCAATAACCTGCATTCATTTTCAACTGCCAAAGACATGTGGAATGATCTCAAATTCGTTTTCAATTAGGAACATTTTGCCAAATACTTTCAGTTGGAATTGGACATAGCCAATTATAGTCAGGCTAATTTCTCTATTCAAGAATATTATTTTGGTTTCCTAATAAGGGTTTCTTCTCAGCATGTCGCTGCCCTTGTTTCTTCTCCATGTCTTTGTCCTTGTTTCTTCTCCATGTCGCTGCCCCACCTTTTCCGCCAAGTCATTTTGCACTCGCGACCCATTATACAAAAAGCAGCCGCCATGGGCTGCCATGAGAAACCCCACATCACCATCGCCTTCTGGTGGCGAAAAGCTTCAAAATCGCCACCGATTTCTTATAACACTAGTTTTGAGAGATCCACATATATTACAGTCCACAGATCCCAAAATAAAACTGTGTTCAGAGTCTAACTTTTACCATTGGGCAATATTTAGATAAGATATCACTAACATCAATTTCCAACTGATCATGAAACCTTGGAGAAGAAACCAAAGTTCACCAGATGTTGCCCAAGCATAATTTTTTTCATTAAGCTAATTGAGAAAAATACAAAAGAATACAAAAGAATACAAAATGAATTTAAGATAGTGAATTTCCTTGTCTTTGGAAATCGTATTTATAATGACATTGGAGATTCCAGATACAATGAATGAGACGAAGGAGAAGAGATGAAAGATCATATTTATAAACTAGATATAGCACAATGCACACAAAAAGCTGCTCAAAACTATCTATTTAAGATGACTTATTCTAACACTCCCCTCAAGTTGGTGCATACAAATTATATGCGCTAAGTTCGAAACATATAAATTCAATCTGAGTTCCTCTTAGGATTTTGTTAAAACATCTCCAAGTTGATCATTTGATCCAAAAAACTTAGTAACAATTTCTTTGGACATCAATTTTTCTTGAATGAAATGACAATCAACTAATCAACTTCTATGTGTTTAGTCCTCTCCTCGAACACGGGATTGGAAGTAATGAAATAGCAACTTGGCTGTTACAATACATCTTCATTTGTTGAATCTCACAAAAATCTAATTCTTGGAGGCACTATTTTACTCATATAAGCTCGAAGTGAGAGATGTCATTGACCTATCTTCAGCAGTTGATCGGGCAACTTTATTTTTTTCTTGCTTTTGAAAGAGATAATATTCACCTGTCTTGCCATTAATTTCTAATTTAGATCCACAGGACGATCTACTAATTTACAATCAATAATATTTGTCTCTTCTAGAATATCAAGAGCATATTTTTTTTGAGAGGATTGTGAACCCAACCATGGTAGTGTGGAAACCCATGTGCAACACCCACTTCAGAAGTATGATAAAGAGGTTGTGTGGGGAGCATGAGGTAGTTTCTACCTACAAGGCTAGTGGGGTTGGTAGTCCCTTCAAGGGACGTTTGTGATCCAGTTGTCACCAAAACAAAATGTGATGAACAACAATGGAAGATGGCAACCAGTGGCCAAACAACAATTCTTCCTCATGCAACACAATCACAAGTATAGTAGGATTCACATGCTTTAATACCAACTTAAGAAAAATATATTTGAGACAATATTCATATATAGACAAATAGTATGGTTAGCCAGATCCTAAGAACCCCATGTAATAGTCAATGGAATGTTGTGGTATGCATCCTTTGATACAAAAAGAATGCACCAAGTCATAGTTGGTTTGTCATTCTGAAATAGATCGAGTGTATGATCACCATCAGATAGGAGATCTAGTTCAAGATATTATGTTCCATTGGTGGGAACTTCATTTCTTGGAGGAGCAAGAAGCGAAAAATAGTTGCTAAATCCAATGTTGAACCTGAGCATTGAGCTATGGCAAAAGTTCCAAGCATGCTGATATGGCTAGAAAACTTCTCCATTAGTTAATATTTGGATATACACAAGATACTCAAGTAATATATGACAATGAAGCTTGTCATTCACACATCAAGCCCAATCTTTCATGAGAGGACTAAACATTGAAATTTATTGTCATTTTGAGACAAGGTACTCTTTCAAGAAATCATCACTAACTTTGTCAACTGCAATGACCTGCTCGCAGACATGCTCACTAAATGCATGAAGACCTCATATTGAACACATTTGTAACAAGCTTGATTCATGACACATACACTCCAATTTGAGGGGACTAAAAGACATGATTTGGTCTTAGCAATTAAGGAAATATGTAGTACAGCTGATAATTAGGGATATTCTCCAACATTAGTCATTACTAACTTTGCTATATTATACTTTAAATGACTATAAATAAAGCGTTAACAAGTATGATCAAACACACAAAATTCAGAACAGCAAAGAAACTCTTTAGAATGAAATCTTCATTTTTATTTCTCAGTAATAGTAATGTTCATTGATGATATAAAATTTCAAATTTAAAAACACCAAAAGTTTAAATGAAATCTTATTTTATGACTTGTATCTATCACTATAAATAGTATCCATTCACAATCTTCCAATATGATCATACAAATTTAAAATTAGTGATTATCATTGTTATCGTATATTTAGATAATTGATACCAACAATAAGCCTATGACATAAAACCACGCCCAGGAAACCAAGTCAATAAAGAAAGAAAAGAAATCATACTTTCCAAAGCACCTTTTGCATAAACGTAGCAGATCCTAACAGGTGGCATATATCCACCAAAAGTTCTACTAGGTTCATCCTGAAATGGATAAGACCATCAGGCAAATCAACTACTCTTCCGTCATCATTGTATGTACAATCATCCACCTGTTAAGCACCCAGAGGAGAAGAAAAGGCAATTTACTCAAAAGACTCAATCAATACAGGGAAGCTAACAAAGGATAATTAGCGAAGAGATCAACAATTAATTTAAACACTTTAATAGGTTATGCTCACAAACAAGGGGAATACTATAGTAAATATTTGTTTCCATAAGTGGTACGTTGATCTTTTAACTGGGACAGAGATCCAACTTTCATAAAATATAGACTTTAGATTAGAACACAACCAATGTTAGGTGAATTTCCTTCACTCTCTTCTAATTGAAAAAAGAGACAGTTTGAAGATAATTTTTAAAGTAGAAAATCCCATGCTAGAAATGCAAATAGAATCCATCCCTACCCTGCAAGCCCAAAAGCAAGAACAGAAAAGAGAGTAACATTGAATTAATCCATGCCCGTATTGAAAACATGCAAATAGCCAGGAACAAACCTGAGAACGCAATAACAGTGAATCAAGTAATGTTGAGAAGACAGGAGAAAAAATGTCTTCCATATGTTTTCTACTTTTTGCACCATCTTCAATGCCAAGTATATAACCTGCAAGAGTAGACCTGTAACAAGATATGTTGTGCTCATGATAAGTGTGTTACTAAACAACAGCAAAGAAAGAATAAAAAAATAAAGGCTTCTAGTCTCTGCATATCAGCACACAACATAATACCCCATAGTTTTTAGCATAAATAATCAGTAAGAACAGTCTCATAAATCCTAAACATTCCAAAAATATCATTACGCTTAATGAAAGTATACCAACAAAGATGTTACAGAAACACTCGCAGAAAATCCTATAGGAATTGGAATTTACTATAGAAATAGTAGGAAATTCTAGAGAATAATCCTCTTATTACAATAAAATAGTGCAGGAACTTCAGAAACATCACAAATCGCGAATTCGTCCTTGCACCAGCCCCTTACGACCTAGGATGCATCAACCATGGCAAACAATAGGGAAATCCCAATTTCTTTGCAAAACCCTAAAATCGAAAAATCCCAATTTCGTTTTGCTTTTGTTTTGCAATTGTGGAACCACGGGCTGATTCTTCATCACCCACTTTGCGCCACTTAAGTACCACCCTTCGTTCAATCAAAGGCACAGCACAATCCAACCATGGTTCCTTGTGGTGTTCTGGATTTTGCCACCACCACTTGCTTTCATCTTCTATTTTCTTGTGCACAACCACTGGGTCTTTATGCTTTTTTTTTTTGAACCTTCACTATGACTAAACTGTTTAGACCTGTTTTCTCAAAAACTGTCCTAGCTGATTCGACCCTTTGTTCATGGTAGCTATAAAGAATCCCGAAAGTATGCAGGGCCTTCAGGAGTGGCAGTCAGAAATCACGTTTGGTAACAGTTTCCCACCCAAACATAATGAAGTTTTTGGGTTACTGCTATGATGATGTGGAGTTTCTCCTAGTGTATGAATTCAAGCCAAAGAGAAGCTTGGAGACTCATCTATTGTTGGAGAAATAATAACACAGAACCTTTGCCTTGGGACACTCGACTGAAAATAACTATTGGTGTAGCTCAGGGTTTGTCTTATCTTGTTACCAACTATTTGTATCAGTTTCCAGCTACTCAAGGAATTTCACCACCAAACCATGGGTTGAAGGTTGGTCATGGTGTGAGGGGAGTGTGTTTCTAGTGAGATTCAGAATTTCAATCAACAATCTCTCCAGCCCCTTTCAGATGTGTATTGGTTTGTTTTCTCTGAAAATATTGGACTCTTCATTCAGTTACTTTAATGGGTCAATTCCCAATAATTTGGGAAATCTATCAAGTCTTGGACATCCTTCATTATTTTGTCAATCAGTCACATTGTACAATGCAAATCAAAGTCTCTATTGTCACTCAGTAGCCATGTGTGTTACTCATAACAGCATCACTACCAGCACCATAGTCTTCTTCTTCCCTGCATATGGGTTCTCATTGCCTCTCCAATTTTTTCGAACCCTTGCATCTCTTGTGGAGAAGTCTTTTGAAGAACCAGATCTTCCACCTTCACAGTTTGTCATCGGCACGCCATCATTCCCATTGTTCGTAGTGAGGAGGAGTATGTTTCAACCATCACAAGCCCTCATCAGTTACTGATGACAATTTAGTCCCTGTAATTTATCGCTTTCAGTCATTGCAGGCCCCATCCGTTATTGATGGCGATTTAGTCCCTGTAATTTGTCGCTTTTAGCCCTTACTTGGTAGCAATCCAGTCCCTGCAATTTGTCGCTATCCACTAACCACTGTCATTTGTTTGATGCACACTCTTGAAGACATGTCATATATTTCAGGAGGAGTTTCTTTGGCTACGCAAGTTCGTGAGTCCAATTTGGTTTATAAACATTCTCTCTCAATTGTCTAACATGTTTTCTAATTGGCGGCAGGCAGCGATGGACGGTGGTGGGCAACAGCGGACTGTGGCGCCGGACAGATGCTACGAGACAGAAACCAAAGCGGGATCAACCCGTTCTGATACCAACTTGAGAATTGAACTATAAAATAATTCTATAGGGCTTAATTGATCCCTCTCATAATCTTCTATTTATAAGAATAAATTGATACAAGAGTACATGATAAATAAGGTAACCCTAGACACATTATAATCATGATAAATAGGATAACCCTTGACACAATATAATGATGATAAAATAGGATAAATATCCTAACAAGCTACGCAAGTTTGTGAGTCCAATTTGGTTTATAAACATTCTCTTTCAATTGTCTGAAGCATACGTGCATCTTGTTCTAAGTCGAAGTTCCCACTTCTATTGTCTCATTCAAGACAAGTTGATTTTGTTGGATCAAATGACCAACTTACATATGTATTGACCAAGTTCCTAAAGTGATCTCAGATTGAGTTTATCTATTCCAAGCTTGGTTCATTAAATGTTTATGCTCCAACTTGAGAGGGAGTGTTAGAATAATTACCTTGTGTGTGAGTTGTGTATTAGTTGGGTATGAGTTGTGTGTGAGTGTTTTCCATTTTAGTCTTATTTGTCTTCCATTGTCATAATCCAATAAATAAAGGATGAAAAAGAAGGGTGAAATAAGCTCTTCACTTGTCTAATACAGATCCACTTCTCTCTAGTTTTAATCTCAATACTTGGGAAAAAAGGATCTAACATAATTTCCAAGTTGATACGACTCACTCTAGAACTTGAATTTAACTAAGTTCAAGAACCATTTGCTTTAATTTTGACAAATGTGGATAACCCAAGAAATCATGCAAAAGTTTAGTAGGAGTGGCAAGGCATGACAAGATGATTTGGTCTCAATTACAATCCTTTACACTCATGTCCTTTGCCAATTAGTTGACCCATACTATGCTTCTGTATAACAAATGAATTAGCATCAAAGGTTACATATCAGTTTAATGAATTAGTTAATTGATTTAAAGAGATAAGGTTAAAGGGGCATGCACGAACAAACAAAATAGAATTTTAAGTTTAAAGAAGGAGAAAGGGGCATGCACGAACAAACCAAATAGAATTTTAAGTTTAAAGAAGGAGAAAGGGGCATGCACAAGGGATCACCTATGATTTAGGGGGTGTCATATCTAAATTTTTTACTGTTCAGGCATGGATAATAACAGCCAATGGATTCAAGGCAACAAAGGTAGAGACATGGTAGTGATTTCTCTAAAAAACCTAAGTACCAATTGAAGAACAGATGTTCATTTTAGACTAAAATTTGGACAAACTGTAAACCGCATGCATCACACCATTCATCTAGAATATGGTAGTGCTTTCGAAAATATTAGACCCATTATTAACCAAACCATGGCTTGAATTCCTTCAACCTTGTCTTCTGCTTCATCCTCATTTGTAGCTTCTTCGATTTTGCAACCACTAAAGCACAGGACCACACTTTTATTTACAAATTTTGGAGGGCAAACATACAAAACAACTGCTAACAGCACCTAACAAGTGGAACATGATCATTTTGATACTTGTATATACAACACAATATCACTGGTAAAAACTATTCAGAAAGAAGCTCCTTAAGTTTTCTATCCTTGAAGAGAAACACAGTGAACGAGAAAAGAGATGGTGCAGAGAGGGGTCCCACAGTATAATGGTGATCGTGGCAAGGTGAGCAACTCCAGTTAATGGACAGAGCTCAAGGGATATCAGGCGTAACCTAATCCCTAAACAAGGACAGTGAGTGTTCTACCACAAACTAGAGGGGGTGTGCATCATAAGAAAACCTCCTGGATACCTACCTAATGTATTTTTCCCAATAAACAAGTTGTAAAGCCTTACTAAAATTGCATTACCAAAACTGAAGTGTTGAGTCTGCAATCTCCCAATCTTCACTTGAAAATGCCACGCAGCTGTTAGCATATTAAAACAGGTTAATATCAACACCAACCAAATCTATAATAAAATACACACAAGCTGACTAGAAATATGCAAAAAACAATAACATCGTAAGAAAGCATCTTTCCAAGTATGTTAATACAAGATCCCAAATTTTAAATCTTAGTTTGAGTAATTACCAAACACTTGTATACTGTATATTATTGTATTTAAAGAAAGGACATCTTAGATCCACTAACTACACTGCATTAAGAGTTCATATCATATGTAATAAACCCTAAAATCCTAGATCTCTTCAAAACCAAAGAGGAGTAAATTCCTAAAGCAAGTAAAAATTCTAAACAGATTGTTGAGATTACCTCAAGAGGGCATCTGTAAGGGCCAGAGCTTCTGCACTTGCCTCAACAATCAGAGATGGAGCCTAGCATACATTTAACAACTTGTCAAATTGGCACATGAATTGTTTGGTTTGCACATAATGGAAAAATTTAATGAGTGATAATAAGTTAGCAACCATGTGTAATTGAGTTCTCCCTATCTATCAATCATGTAAAATCAAACAAACGATAGCCATCATTAGTATGAGTTTATGTTAACAAAGCCATTTAAATGGACAGGTAGACAGCACATAGAAAAATGTTTGCAGCAAGGATTTTGGAAATCCTAGAGAACTCATACTTACAGCCTGCCCAATTTCTGACAACAAGCACGCGAGGCCACCAATTACTTTCATGTCTCCCCTAGTAAGAGCTGGAAAAAGAAGTACTTCCTTTAAATATTGTACCCTGCATAACAAAATTTGGGGTACTCCCTAAAGAAAACCCAAAAGTCAGAATCAATGGATCGCCCATATAGAAACACTATGCATGGCAATATAAGGTGAGAAAAAATAAACTAGTTTAACTAAGTAAATTCTCCAAATTTAGTTAAATTTATGTAGAAAAAATTACACACATAAATCCAGAAAAGTTCTAGCCTCATGCAATAATAATAGTAATAAAATCATTGTTTTTGTGTGTAGTCTTTATCACCAATGGCATAAAGAAAGCATAGTGGGAACATAATTTTGAATATACCCCTAGCAACACTGAAAGGTGAAGAGAGGCTGGGAAGAGTGATTCAGAAAAGCACGGAAAAAAAAAATCTCAACCAGAGGTATTATCTTTGTAAAAGAAAAACCAACTGGCTGCTCAAAGCAAAGTCTTTTGCTCTCACTGTGTTTTCAGTTGTAAGCTAAAATAACAGTTAAATACACTAATGAAAAGGGCCTATAGTCCAACTGCCTCCCTTATATATGTCATACGATTTCCTGGAAGTTCAACTCAATAAAGAAAGAAAAAGGCATAAAAGTAGGACTCCATTAGCATCCCATTTGAGAGGCACATACATAAAGAGGGAATGAACGAGAGCCAAAATATGAGACTATGACCCAAAATCTAAAATCCCCAAAAAAGTAAGCCAAGAAAATAAAGGATATCCTAATTTTATATAAACCAAGCCTCTGAAATGTGTCAACTCTGTGCCATGATTAGTCAAATCCAATTTTAAATTCTTCCAATGCTACATTGATTATTTTATAGGTCATCACCATGTTTTGAATTTCAGTTCATAATATTGATATTGCATCGTTCATGCTTACACAGCTAATTTGTAAGCATGATCATAAGGTATGCAGTGTAATCTAGAAACTAGAAATGGCTATGAAGCTTCCATGGCAGATTTCAGTGGCAGACTTTCGCTGGCCTTTTCAACATGGTGGTGGCGAACCAGGTCTCACATGATGGCAAATAGCAGCCATGTTAGGTGATGCAGAGTGACAGTTCTGAAAGGCCATGACAGAAACTAAAGACCATGTGGCACTTGTCTGCCTAAGGAAGAGGAAGCCATATGTCAGCATGATGCAACCCAGTGCAAGGCACTTAAAACCCTAATCTTTCAAGAGTTGATTTTGCTGTGAGTTTGTAATTGTAAAGTGTTTTGTGCAAACTTGTTGATAGTGGATCGAGTTATTCTAAGATTAAATAACTGAGACTAGATGTAGGATCAATGGATCTGAAACTGTATAAATATTCTATGGTGTAATTGTTTTTTCTTTATCTTCTTTCCTTGTGTTGCTATCCATTCTTGTATGACTCTTGATTCACAAATTAAATTGCATTTAGTATTTTAAATTAAAAAGAACTTGAAGAAATTTTACAAAGTTTCAAACCCAATTCACCCAGTCTTGGTTTAGTGTAGCCATCAATTCTTTTCTAACAATTTGAATTTCTAGACATGATATTATCATTAACGATATGGTTGTCTTTCATTACTTTTAGCATTACAATTATACTTTTGTATCTTTTTTAATTATCTATAAGTTAATACTGAATTTTCTTTCATGATGCTTCTTCCATATTTCATTACAGTTTCAGGTTTTTCAAATAATGGATTTTTACCTTCTAATATGTTTTCCTCAATTTAAAGCATTACTTGTTTTCTTAACAATCATATAATAATTCATCATTGTTGAAGATCCCAAACTAACTAGAAATATGAGCAAATTATATATATATATATATATATATATATAACTTGATACAAACCTCACCTTTTGGATGGTTGAATTAAGCTTAAACCTCACTTTCTAAGACCCAACTTCCATTATACAATAAGCACCCAAAAAACTATATAAGTGGCCCTTAATGATCAATAATAGCTTGCTAAACTGCCCTAGCATAAGAAACCTTTGTAAATAACCATCAATTTAACTGTTATGATGAACCTCTTAACCCTAAACAAGAAACAGTCCAGGTGCTTGAGTGTTCTATTTGACTATTATAGGCCAATCACACATCCATCCTGAAATACAGATAGTATGAGAGCATAGCTTTAAACTTAAAAAATAGCCAGTGTATTTACGTTTGAGTATTTTAAGGACCTAACAACACTAAAATCTAGTAGAAAACTTTAAGTCTAGAACATATTATAAATTCTACGAGAATGAGAAAGTAAATCAAGAACATACATGTAGACTAGTACAATGACATCTTTAAAATAATTAAAGACATGTACACTTAAGCCAAACAGATTAATACTAATGAAAGATGTTCCAACAAGTTGGGCAACCTTACCTCGTGTTTAGTCACAAGTTCAACAAGAACTTCAATGGCTAGATCAAATGATAATGAAACCTACACAGAATGTGATACAAATTAATCCGATTAGTCATAAATGATCATCTTAAGAATCAAGTGAGAACTGGAATACCTGCAATGAATTGAACAAAAAATTTAGAAGTGGGTGTGCCGGCAATGTTCCAGGAGATATCTCTGAGAAGCAACCTGCTTTAACCTGAACAAATGATGACCATATTAGAATAAACTCGTGACAACAGAAAGTTTTTAGGAAAGATGAATATTCACTTCAAATAAGACAGAAGAGAAGAGAATCAAAGTAAAAGATGTCTTATTGATATAACCATGCTTAAAGCAAAGCAACATAAAAGTATGCACGCACAGAAAAAATGCAAAAACACGAATGAGTCATCAGAACAATGGCGCACCCAACTCAATAAGCAACGTAGAATTTTCCTGTTCCTTTCCTGTTGTTGCACAGAACCATCAAAATTTATTTCAGACTGCTGCAGCAAGAACTCAAGAACCATAGGTGTATGGGAGAGAAGCTGTAAAACAGACATAAGAGTGCAGAAGTCAGAGTTAAAGAGACAGAATGCACACAAAAAAACATGGCATATATGAATGCATCAAAGCAAAAGTTTCTAAACCTCTTGGGTATAGTGGCTTTTGTGTAATGAACTAATTTTAGAGTCGATACGCTGGTTGTCAACAACTTCCTCTGGCAGGACAGTGAGCATCTCAAGGACAGCAATATTGCCATCAACTTGGCTTTGCAGATTCTGCAGACTGTAAAAGAGTTGCTCAATTGGGTTTCCATATGCAGCAACTTGAAGTACAAGTGCAGAGAGTGCAAGACAGATCTGTGTCAAAAGCTGTCATGGTAATAACAAAGAACAAGTTGAAATCAATTTGTTTTTAACACGAAGGGAAGACAGCTGAATGTCTGTACAGCACCTTCCTGAAAAGATTATCAGCAGAATAAAAAACAAAAAGGAAAAATAATGCACCTGAGGTGGACCAGTACTGAATCTTTTGACTGCAAGAAGAAGGGCATTTAATAAAGCATCTTTAACTCCTAACTGCAGTAGATAACCTTCATTTTGAATCTGTAAATTGAACCATGTAACATTCATCGCCAACGAATATTAAATCATATTAAATCGTCAGTCATGAAGATTATTTTATTTCTATTTTTCTTTCTAGAAGTGGTTCTTCATAGGTTAAAAAAATGTCCAGAGCTGAAAGAAATCAAAATCAACCTTAGGACATAAGTTATTGACAGCAGGTTGTCACTCACTGCTCATAGTGACTCGAAAATAAAAACATGATATTAAGTAGAAAACAAAATATCATAAAAGGGTGAAGAAAGCCAAGAAACAAGAACAATAAAAGAAGTCCCGAACTTCAATCTTTCTGCAAGTTTGACCTGTAGTGTAGAGTGTTTTTAGGAGACCTACTAATGGTAAGAAGTTTTTAAGAGACCTACTAATGGTAAGAAAATCGTTCAATATAACATGTCCACATCAACACTTCTATTACCTAACTGAATCACTCGAGTTCTTAATCCACAATAAACACACAACATAGTAATAATTAAGTAAAAGTGGAAATCTTAATTACCAAATCCATAGACATTGAAGAAATTGGAAGCTTTAGAGAGAGAAAGAGAAAAGCAGATTTGAGAGAGAGAGAGAGGACCTTGCGTTTGAGAATCTGCGCTGCAAAGAACTCGACCTCAAAATTGGAGGCGAGGGGGAGGTGGCGATCGGCGGTGAGGATGGCAGTGGCGACATCCCAGGCGGCATGGGTCTGTTGGAACTGAACGAGCCACTGATTGGCTGCGACGCGATTGCAGGATTGGGTATCGTGGTTGAGCACATGGACCGCCTCTGCCACCTTCATTGCCAGTTCCATGACGTTCTTGGCCTTTTAATTTTAGTTTGCTTAGAAAATTGAGGGAATAAGGAAAGAGAAAATGATTTTAGAAAATTAGAAAAAGAAAATTAGGAAAAAAAAGAGGAACAGATGGAAGAGAAACAGGGTGATGATGAGGATGCGACGCCTGGGACAACTGCAACGGATTCAGTTAACAGTTGTTTCCCTTTCATCGGACGGCTACGGGCTATGAGTGAGTGACAGAGCAGTGAAAGACGATTGAGGGTTTGGCTATGCTCCTCTACATCCCACCATACGCAACTCCTCTATTTTATAGATTCTTTTCCTCGTTCCCCCACTCCCCCACTCCCATCCAATTTCCACTACCTCTTTCTCTTTTTATGTTTAATCCTAGAGTAAAAGTAATAACTAGGGAAATTTTATTTGGAAAATAATGTCCTTTATAATTTGTTGTTAAATTTTATTGTAATTTTAAAATACTAAACATTCATTTTTATTCTTAAAAGATAATAGGTAGATTTCCTTAAAAATTTATAATATTTTGGTCCTGTAGTTTTATTACTTGACCACAGGGTCATTTTGATAGGATATATTACAAAATAATAGTGTCATGTGCTCTTATGTTCAAACATGTACAAGCATGTACAAGTACTAGGTTCACATTGAATTCATTAGATTGTACAAGTTGTCTTTTAGAAACAATAAAAAAATAATATAATTGATTACCTTTATTAAGTCAATACAAAATAATTTTTATATAAGGAAATTTGATTTATTATTATTATTATTATTATTTTGAGGACGTATAATTAAAGTTGAATAAAAGAACATATTTTTTTTAGGAGAAAAGCTATTTTGACAACATATTGTTCAAATATTCATGTGACAAAATAAAGAAAGATAATGTAGGAAGAAATTTTGGCTTGAGGTCCTAAGAAAGATTTATTGGAATAGTCGGTCTAGGGGGAGAAGGGGTTGAATAAAGCTTTAGACTCTTTTTTCACATAATTATATTAAATAATTTATTATGAAACATATAAAGCAACACACAAATTTATTTTGTATTATGGTTTATCTTTAATTTTTGGATTATGTTTAATTCTCTTTTAAAAAGTCTCACTACTAGACATATAATTCAATGGATCATCTTGGTAAGTTAAGATGAAAATATTCTCACAACACCTTAAATCAAATAATATTGAAACTTTATTCTGACGAATACACCTTTTGAATGTTAGTTTTCGTTTTGAAGAACTTATTTATTTTTATTTTGTTGAACTTGTTTGTTATTTTTTTTGTTTAAGAATTTTTTTAATTCGACATAAATTTAACGTCTCCTGATATGATGTTATTCGCGAATTCACGATTTTTGTACTAGTGAAATGTGTTGAAAAGTTTTTTTTATGCAAACAACCTCTTTGAAAAAGCAAAATGTCAATGTTGCAAATTTAGCAAGTTGCCTGAAGCCTTGTATTTTGCTATAAAAAAAAAGGAGAAAGAAGTCACACACATTCAATATTATGTCAATAGCATTCAATGCTTCTTGAAGCCTAAAAATTAGACATAAGAAGAAGTAATGCAAATGATGACCATCATAGTGGATACAAAAGTGTGCAATGATTATTTTTGTTCTTAAGCTTTTTACATAGAAACTTGTTTTGTTAATAAGGAAGGTTGAACTAATGAATGACAAATAAAGTCTTCAAATAAGAACATGCACAAGATGTTAAGATGTTAAGCTTGCAAGTCTTATAGTTGCGAGAAAGAATATTGTTGTGTTCACTAACAAACTAAAAGTTTTGTTTAACCTTGTAAACTTCAAAAGACGCAACCCTTTTATATTATACGTACCTCAAGTTCTTTTGAATGCAACCGAAACAATTTCTTTGTTTTAGCTAGGAGTAGCTTATTGTTAAAGAGTACTTGTGTTAGCTAGGAGTGATTATGAGCCAAAAAAATACTTGTTTATATCTTACAACAATAGTCTGCACAGTGGAACTCAATCAAGTGATTAAGAAGTGAATGTAACTTACGTTTTAAGATGAGCGAGTATAAACATATCTTGAGTAATTTCTTCATTTCCTTAACTTTGTATATTATATCTTATATTTATTGCTCTAACTTAAGAAAGTGAATTTTTCAAACTCAATTTTTGAAAATATTTGTCATTTGTCTAACGAGTATAAACTCATCATTTGGTTGCATATATTCAAATGACACATGCAAAAAAAAATTAAAACACAATTCAATCATCCCTTCTTACGTTTTACCTATTTTCATAGTCTGCATGTTTATTTTTTGAGAAGCAAAGTCTTGATTAGACAAGGCAAAAACTATGAGATGTTATATCATTTCTCAAATGAAGCACTAACATCTTGCATGATCTTCTTTGTACATAAAACACATTGTTTGACATATGTGATATATTCATGTTTTATACTTTATTGTGAAAAACATTTCTTTTAAGAAAAACTAGTATTTTTAGACTTTACTAATGTTGTCAAAACGGGTCACCCGACTCACCACATGTTGGTCACTTAGTAAGTCAATCCAACCTAGTTCACTTATTACCGAGTCAAAAAAATGTGAACTTAACCCGACCACGATTTGGTGGTTAAATAAGTTGACTCACTAGCTTACTTAATTACAAGTTTTTTTTCTTTAATTCCAAAAAAATTAACAACTTTTTTCAAATTCAAATATAAATAAACTTTAGTCCAAAATTATGTTAAACTTCAGAAACAATTCAAAATAAATAAAAATATACAATATAATTCGAAATCATCTCAAATTTCAAATACAATCTAAAACCAAGCATAAAAGGCAAAACAAATAAGTATCAATCAAGACATAATGAAAATATTAACAAACCCAAAAAGCTTGTTACTGATATAATCAATCAAGACTTAGTGAAAATATTTACTTACTCGAGTGATACCAAATTGTTAATGATGTGCAAAGACGACATAAAAGATGAAATATCAATCCAAAAGACTCCCCTTGAGCAACAAATATAGGAGGTTACTCCATATAAATCTATTCTTGCAAATTGTCGATGAGGAATGCATATTGACATCAAGTTGATCAAGAATGCGAATAGAGGTTGAGGAACAACTAACAACAGTTGTGGAGAATATTGGACAACGGTGGACTACCCAAAACTTCAACTATGATGACTTTGACAAATAAAATTACCATCAATAGTGAATGACGACCAGTAGTTGCGGACAACGACAAACTATAGGGACTAGAATGCCATTAGTAACTGATATGGGCCTTTAATGGCAGACAATAACAAACTGTAGGGACTAGATTGTCGTCAATAATAGATGGTGGCTTATAGTGACTGACAACAATAGACTGCATGGATTAAATTGGACCACAGAGAAATAGACTCCCCCTTACGGTGAACAAAAAAAATGTCAACGCGTCGATGATAAATATTGAAGGTGGAAAATCTGACTCTTTAAAAGAATGAGTTCCTTTATTCATCAAATCACCTAGAAACAAACTCCCCCTACGAGAGACGTCGGTGGACAAAGGCAACAAACAGTAGAAATAGTGATAAAGATACTATAGAGAACTCAAATTAGGAGAGAAAGAATGAGGTACTCAGACACAGGTGTTGAAAGACAAAGACCAACTAAGACGATCAAAATAGTGTTGCTAGTGGTCAAAATTGGAACTCCAACAATGGCAACGGTAAAGACCGAGACCACCGACAGCGACTATAGATACCACGTTAAGAAATGAACTTTAAGCCTAATTCAATCTCAAAAAACCGACTTTTGAGGCGAGGTGTGCACTCATATATATATATATATATATATATATATATATATATATATATATATATATTCTAAATTGGTTTTATCTCTAGTTGACATGGGACTTGTAAAATATTATCAAAGCAAAATGTGATTTGTACATCACGCGACTATCATTTTATTCAAGATTAAAACAAAATATAACTTCCATAAGTCATAATTTGTGCACAAAATATATGTATAAAAGCAAAACATAATTCTTTTATGTGTAATAGACTATGAACAAAAACTTATGTGTATCAAAGCGTGAATAATAACTTATCAGATTATAGATAAACACTTATGTTTATCAGAGTGGAAATAAGCATAAATAACCAAATTCTTTTATTCTTGTATATGAGAAAAAAAAATTCATACATGTATCAAGGCACAAATCTTAGCTCTAAGTCATACACCAGAATATGTTATTTAAGGATATGTATATCAGAGCAAGACAAAGCATATCAGACATGAATTTTTCAAGCATAAATATTAATTTATGTATTAGAGCAAACATATATCAAATCATATGTATATCAAAGCAAACACTTTGTAGGATTCAAGGAATGTTTTATATTTAGATAGAAATATACTCCCACTGATTCTAACAATCTATTAATGTTTATATCAAAGTAATCAATCATTCAATCAATATCATGTTAGAGTAATCACCAATGTAATCAAGACAAGCACATCAAGGCATAAGATCATTTGTGCTTATCAAGCAAGTATGGATTTGTGACTTCTATAAGTCAACATCATCAGATAAAAACTATTGTGAAGCAAGGAAATATATGACCATTAATGAATTATGAAGAATCCAAAGTAATTATTCAAAGAATTAATTACAAAAATGAAATATGATGCATGCATGCAGAGTTTCCAAAGTTTAACATATTCTTCTTCCCCTTATTTGATAAACATCAAGAAAGGGAGAAGAGACAATCACTGCCCAAAGAAGCTTATCAAATAACACTCAACAAAATACTGCATATAGAGAACCATCTAAGGAAAGAAAATGTTTTTCAAAATATATCACCTAATAGACAATACAAGTAACAAACAACTAAATGTCTAAAAGGTCAACTAACCACAAAAAGAATCTTATTGAGAGAAGCGTCTCTTTGTGACTCAAACAACGTCTTTATCTAAGTAGAAGTCTTATGAAACAAATGTTAAACGATATTTTGGAAAACATATGAAAACATCTAATCAATAGAATGTCTAAGGAAAAAGTCTAAAGCATTACTCAGATTAGTGCTAAGTGATAGGGAACCTCTAATAAGAGTATCCTAACATCTAAGCATTATAAAAAATTTAAAAAATATTTAAAGCAATAAGCGTTTAATGAAGATAACATCTAAAACCAAGTTTATATAAGTAATGTTTTCTCAATCAGGTTGTCTAAATAAATTAGAAAATCATAAACAACATCTGATAGAAAGTATCTCTCTTTGAAATCATATGGTAGACTATATTGTACAAAAAGGTATCTTTGTGCTTGCATGTTTTGTTCTCGTTATCTATGCAGGAAATGA